CGAAAGCTTCCTTTGAAAATGCATTTACGTGAAACAGTGAATTTCTTTTAAAGGAAAACGATCCATAGAGAATAGTCCTCGTGGTTCACAAATGGGGCACAATATGGGCTCAAAACCCCAGCAGATGTGACCATGGCGCAGGGAGCACTGAAGGGTCTGATCTGGGGGTCCGGGCATTTGGACCAGGGCCGGCGGCGTGCCCTGGCAGCTTGTCAGAAAAGCACCCCAGGAGGCCCCACCCATCCTGGACCTCCCGAAGCTGGACCTGCATTTGAATGAGCCCCCAGGGCATCTGTGGGCACACGGATGCTTGAGGGGCATGCGCTCAAAGGGGCTGGTGACAATGAGAGTCGGGGTGGTGGGGGAGAGGGGGGGGGGGGGTGGCGGTGGCTCCCCAGGAGTTCCACTTGCAGCCAGAGGAGGCTCAGGTCTCCTGGGAGCTCCTGCCTGCTCAGCACGCCACACACACAAACACACACACACGTGCACACTCAGCCCTGATGTCGAGGGGCCTCCAGCCTGGCTCTCAGGAGGACCCTCCCCTTCACCCCCTGAGAGCCCCACCCCACCCCGACCGCCACCCCCAGCAGCTCCTTGGGGCTTCTGCGAGCCCATCTGCGCTCCCGCAGAGAGAGCAAGCAGGTACCTTGGGCAGCCGGGTGGGGGCGCTGTTCTGGCCCTGGGTGTACCTCCAGTCCCCCAGCCCGGCAGCCTGCTGGCACGTGGTGGATAAGCCACAAAAACTCGAATGTCTGAAGAAAATTTCTGAAATGTGGGCACCTCGGTTATCGATGCTAAAGAGCAATAATGATGAAATGACCCCAAAGTGCTCATTTATCCTCTGGACTTTACGGACACTCAATGTCAGGAATAGGAATAGGGAGAAAAAGATGAGTAAGACATGACACCGGGGCGCCTGGGTGGCTCAGTTGGTTAAGCATCTGCCTTCAGCTCAGGTCGTGATCCTAGGGTCCTGTGATCAGCGGGGAGTCTGTTTCTCCCTCTCCCTGTGCCGCTCCCCCTGCTTGTGTTCTCTCGTGCTTGTGCTCTCTGTTAAATAAATAAATCTTAAAAAAAAAAAAAAAAAAAAAAAAGACGTGACACTAGCCATGGAGCAGAGGGGACACATATCCTGCTCTCTTCGTGACAAGGCTGCACGGCCAGTGGACAGGACAGCATTAGAAACCAGATCTGCAGCCCCAGGCTTGGGGCGGCGGAGGGGTGGGGGGCAGGGAAGAGGGAGCAATGTAGCCTGGCCAGGGGCAGGGGTGGTGCTGGGCTTCCAACAAAGGGTAGTGTTTCATCTGGGTTAAGAAGAATGGAGAGGACTCTCTCCCAGGTCAAGAAGGCAGAAGGTGTTCCTGGCTGAGGGAACAGCCCAGGTGTATAAAAAATGCACAGCATTGTTGGGAAGGTGAAAAGTCTAGGTGAGCAAGGGTCAAATTCCTCCTGGCCCAATTAAAAAATAAATTCCTCAGGGCTGTCTGGACTAGGCTCCGGAGTTTGGACTTTATCTCATGGGGAACTAGGGATTGATGCGGTGGGCGGGGGGGGGGGGTGTGTTAAGTAACAGCATTATCGAGCAGGCGAGCGCATTAATTATTGACAGCTGCGTGGCTGGAATTGGTGGTAAAGACCTGGAACCCCCCCACACAGGGCCACGGCCACACCCGTGTAGTTGAATCAGGACCGTCCCTCCTTCCCCAAATCAGATAACTGGAGCAGGCTGACCCTCTGACCTGATTGACAGGGGGCCTGATAAGACCAGACAGGTGGGAGGGAGGGGAAGACTCTGTCCTGGCAGTGGGAGGCCCCAGGGAGCACTCAGGGTGAGGCCTCCCTTGGGCATCGGCCCTGCTGAGACCCGGCCCCGCTGAGACCCGGCCCCGCTCCCCTGGCCCCCACCACACAGAACTTGCTCCCCCAGTCCCGGGGCCCTGCGGAGTGCTGGCACCTGCTCCCACAGGCTCGGGAGGGCCACCTCTTCCAGAATCTTGCAAGCTGATTGTTAAAGGCAACCACGATTAAAACTTCAGTTATATAAACTAACAGGGAAACGGCATAAAACAGAGGTGACAAATGCCTTCAAACCCCACCACTTCCTAATGATTCACTAATTCACTAATTTGCTTATGATTCACTGCACCTCCGTCCTGCTCTCCAGGCTGTGTCTACTGCGTGTGTCTCATGGAGATCCAGACAACGGCAGGCTCCTGTGCGTCTCTGCCCAACTCCACGTTCAGCGGCAACATGTTGGAAGCTTGGACTTGGCCACAGGGGGAGTATTTACACCAGCGAAATCAGCAAGCGCTATAACCCAGAGTTCTGTAGAGAGCTGGTCCCTTTAGCATTTGCCACTGCTCACCTCCACCCCCTGCTTTGCTGGTTCCCCAGGGAAGCGCAGCTGCCCCTCCCAGGCCTGTTCTCCCAGCAGCACTTCTGGTCTGGTCAGATTAGAGGGAGCTGTCGGTGGACGTCAGAAGACACCCTCACCAGGAACCCTGAGCCATCTGCCCCTGAGGATTTACTTAGTCCTACTATGGGGTGTCTCTGTGCGCTCCGCCCGGAACCCCCTCCCACCCTGATCAGGCTCCTGCAGGGTCTGGCAGTGTGGCCTGACCCCTGGGGCTGGGGAATGGAAGAGGGGCCTTGCCTTTGTCACACCAACCCCCTACAAGCAGGTGGCCGGCAACCATGCTGGACATCTGTCCGGAGTACTCAGCTCCTGAATGCCACCATGGGGCCAGCCGCCCTCTAGGGAAAACTCACCCTCGAGAGTTGTTTGTTAAGAGTTTGTTAAAATCAAGAACATCCGTTCATCCGAAGACACCACTGAGAGAATAAAAAGACAACTCGCAGACTGAGGGAAGGCATTCGTCATACCTAAAACTGACACGGGGCTCATATCCAGAAGAAGTAAGGAACTATCTAGGTCAGGAGGAAAAGACAAGTCAATTACGAGCTGGCAAAAGAACACACACTTTATGGCAGAGGATACCCAGACGACCCAGTTCACCTAGAGAAAGGTATGCAGCCTCCTTCATGTGTGCGGGAAATTGAAATTTAAATAAGTCCCAGTGAACCATAGCGACACACTCACCAAACTGGGGAGCGCTTTTAAAACAGAATGACAGATATTGCTGAGGATACAGCAACACGGCCGAAACTCTCGTGGGAGTGCAAACTGGTCCTACCTCTCCGGGCAACAGTTTGGCAATATGTGCTCACGCTGAACCTCCAGTTACCGTCCAGCCCAGGAGTTCCCAGCGATGAGCGGACTCATCTCCCAGTGGCACTTGGATGCTCATCACCGCCTTATTCACGATAGCCCCAAACTGGAGATGGTACCATGTCCCTGAGGCAGCACCCAGAGTCGGTTCGTGGCATGGAGAACTATGCAGCAGGGAGAAGGGCCTAGAGAGGTGCTCCCTGAGCAGAACGACTTGCGCAAGGAAGCCGGGCATGAAAGCGCACACGCTGCCCAAGTTCATGTGCCTAGAGGTCCAAGCAGCGGAAACTAACACATAGCCATAGACCCAGAATGGTGAGTCCCTCTGGGGAGAGGGCAAGTTGTAGGAAGAACACTCACTAGAATCCCAAAGTTTAAAAAGCAGCAACAGTCCTCCTTGCTGCATTGAAGATCTCTGCTGCTTTGGCTGTTGGAGGTGGAAAGTTCAAGGACAGGTTGCCCATCTGAGGAGCCTCCACCTTCCTCGGGAGCCACCGGCTGGCCAGGCAGGGACTCAGGGGGAAACCAGAGTAGTGATCTCATTTTGGCTTCAAGGAAGATTTCCACTAGCAATTCCACTTCTTATCTCTTTATAGGTAGGTATCAAGCATTTTCTTACCTGACACCATACCAGGCACTGTTCAAAGTCTATCATTATTATTAACTAATTTAGCATGCTACCTTTTCCATTCATCCAAACCTCTGGGGACGTCTACCAGTGCCCCCTTTATCAAGCACTTACTATGTGGCAGACAGGAAGCTATCACTTAATTCTCACATGAGCCCTTGGGAGGCGGATATGTTGTTTCCATTACAGATTAGGCAACAGAGGCTCAGAGAGGTTCAGTGACTTGTCCAAGGTCACACAGCTCAGTGGTAGAGCTGAGCTCTAAAGCCAGCTCTAGCACTTCTCCAAGCACCAGGCTGAGACAGGTGTAGTGACCACCTTGAGCCAAACAACCTTTCCAGACACGTTTTTTAGGCTTCAACTCCGGCATAATGAATCAGAATCTCTAGCCCTTAGACCCAACTGAGCAGTGGAGTATCCCACAGAGGTTGTTCAAAACAAATCCTGATCCCCATCTGGCACTACAGAGCCAGACTCCATGCTCTGCACACAGTAGGCTGTAGGGTCCATCTGTAGATGGAAGGAAACCTGCCTGCCTGGCTTCCTCTTCCTCCAAGAAGTGCATGTCTGCGCAGGAGTGGAGGCGCTACGGAGTCCCTCCCTTCCTTCCAGTCTCTGGGCAAAAGGCATGTTTCCTCCTGTGGGAAGCCCTCCGGGACCACCCCAGCCTACCCCACGCGGTACTGCTCACCCTTTTGCTTTGCCTTAGTTGTCTTCCTCGTGTCTCAGTCTTTTATATGGACCAAAATGAACCATATGAAATTGTCTTCTCTGTAGGCCAACAGTAGCTGAAAATGGGGCCTTTTATCCCGGCCAATTTAAGCATTTCCCTCCCCGGATGTCAATTCCCGCAAGGGTTGGGATGTCTGCGTGTGGCTCACAGCCGGTCCCCAGATGAAGCCCCGCACCCGGTAGGCACCCAGGAAACGATGGGTAGATCGCTGGGAGAACCTGACGGCTCTGAACAGCCGCGAAGCAACACGCGGGCCCCGAGGTGGAGCCGGAGGGCCCCGGCACCACCCTCTGCCCCGCCGTCCCAGGCGCAATCCCAGGCGCCTTCCCAGCGGCGGCGGCGACAGCCCGGCGGGGTGGGGCTCGCCGTCATCCATTTACCAGCCTCGCCCCTCCGGCAGGCGCACGTTAATGAGATTAGCAATTAAAAAGCGAGTGAGCAGCCGGGGCTGAGGCGCGGGGCCACCCCCAGGCCGAGCGGGCGGGTCGTCCGGGCTGCGGCGCTCCGAAGCAGCCCCGCGCGGCGCCCGAGGGGGAGCCGGCTTCCAGCTCGCGGCCATGGAGAAGTCGCGGCCGCTGTGGGCCAACCCGCTGCAGTTCGTCTTCGCCTGCATCTCCTACGCCGTGGGCCTGGGCAACGTGTGGCGCTTCCCCTACCTGTGCCAGATGTACGGCGGAGGTGAGTGCGGTGCGTGCGGGAGCCCCGACTCCAGGCCGGTAAACTGAGGCTCGCCGCGGGCGAGGGGGCACGGGGGTGCAGAGCCCGCCGTCCCGGACCCAGCACATCCCTATCCGCTGCCGACCTGTTACCCAAAACCGCCCTCCTGCGGCCTCTGCAACGCCCCAGCCCCAGCCCAGCGGCCGCCGAGCCTCCTCCGCACTCGGGCTCAGTGGGCCTCAGGAGGCTCCGGACTGTTTTCCCCCCGGGGGAAGAGGCTGACTTCTAGGGAGTAAAGCTGACATTTAAGTGTAAAAAGTGAGCAGGGAATTGTCTTCTTCAACAGAAACTCCTGCTACAGTTTTCAGATACGAAACATACTCCCAGCAGTTTGGTTTGAAACCGGTTACAAGGGTCTTGAGCAATTCTTAAAAAATTTTTTTATTATTAAAACACTGGTTTGAATTTGGAGCCACAGATGGCAGGAAAGGCAAATCATTCTGTTTCTAATTTTTCTTGTTTTGTTTTTTGTTTTGTTTTCTTTTTTGTTATTGTTTTTGGTTTTTTGGTTTGGTTTTTCAAATGTTTCCTCTTTTTCTCTGAAGCATCAGGGCGCATTTACTAGACAGACCCACCTACGCCCATTGTAGTCCCTTAACATTGTGGGGAGCTTGGGAACACCTTAGTGACACGCCAGGGAGCGTCTCTGCAGGCCAGCCTATCATTTTGTAAGGCTGAGAGGGCTTGAAGTCTCAGCATTAAAGAAGAGTTTTTTTCCTTGGTTCCATTTCTAGAATTCTACCGAAAGGAAATTATCAGAGGTCTGACCAAGGGTGGCGATGGAAGGACAGTCTCAGTCTTTTAATAAGAGTAAAATGTTAGAAACTTCCCAAGCCCTCAAGGAAAGGGATTTAGTCCAATAAGTTATGGAACGTCGGTGTGCAGCCGCTGGGATGGAGTTTTCAGAAACTTTCATAGGAGTTTTCTCCTATCATCTATTCAGTGGAGGGAGGGGAAGTTAGATTAAAAACTGTACATAAGGGGTGGTCTCAGCTATGTTTAGAAATAGGCCAGGAAAAGAGAATGAGAACAAAAAATACACCAAAATGTTAACAGTAGTTAGCTCAGGGTGGTTTTTCTTTGCCTTGGAGTGTGTGTGTGTGTGTGTGTGTGTGTGTGTGTGTGTGTGATGTTTTCTATAATCAGGAATGTTTTTTCACCATAAAGGACAATAAAAGATGTTAGACCAAAGTATTAACAAGATTTAACCCATTTAAGAAGGACCAAGACCTAAAGTACTGCTCCCCTTAGCCTCCTCTCACCTGTTCAAAAAAAAGAAAAAAACTGGCAAAAGGTTAACTCTCTGATTCCTTTTTTTATTAGAAGGGCATAAACATATCATAATTATGGGAAGGGTATGCTTTGCCATGTGGTATAATGGCTTCATAGCTGGCTTTTCAAAGAATTGCTTGTCAGGATGAGATTTCTGGGTCCTTCTGTGCTCAGCACACCTACTGCCCACAGTACCTTTGTCCTGGCTGCGTGGTTTCCACCCCTCGGGCCAGGTGAGCCCCACTGTCACATGACTGTTAATTCCTTGTTTCTAACAATACCATCCCCTGAATAGCCCGCAGGTGACGTGGGTTGGGTAGAGTAATTCTGTAATTGTATATATGTAGGGAGTTGCTAGGGGAACCGCAGGACTTTCAGGACCCGGAAGAGAAAAGAAGAAATCCTGTACCTGGTACAGGGTATACTCGGGCTGGCTGGGCTGGGTGGATAGAGAGAGATGGAGGATGGCTGATGGATGGGTAGACACTAAGGAGAGAGACAGGATTGGTGGCTCGCTGGGTCCGGGATGGACAAAAATAGGCTGGGCAGGTGGCACGTTCTCAAGGTCTAAGTATCTACAGAGTAAAGACCCAACAGCTTATCCTGGCCCAGCCAGGGCTTCATCACCTGACACCTGCTCCTCTTTCCACCCCATTTCCACCTGCTCATCTGCCAGCCCCACCGAATGTTCTAGACTATTCTGGACAGTTCTCTGTCAGCGAATGCATACTCCCTGCCTGCACACTTTGCACGAACTATTTCTTCTACCTGGGAAGCTGTCTATAGCCTGGAGGCCTCCTTTCTCTGCCTCCCATCAACCCCCGTGGTGGGAGTCAGAGGCGGCACCAAAAAGTATTTGTTGGACTGCTAAGCGGGATCCGTTAGAAACACATGGGGTACATGAGGTGGGGATGTGCGTGGTTTTCCCTGAGCCTTTCCCTGTCCAGGGGTGTTGCCTATTAATAAGTGATTTATGTGGCCCAAAAGCCAGGCCATTTGCAGACCCATTCTTCACCTAAAGCTAAAGGGTAAGCCAACCACATCGTGAAAGTCTCCGGAGGAGGGTTTTTCTCAACAGCACCATGACCCGCCGCCTACAGCCAACAAAGGGCTTATTTATAAACTACAGGGCCAAGTTGTGCCAAATACTTCCCAGAATAAAGAGGATTAGGGATCCGTGCTCCTTTCCACGGGGCTGGCTCTGTGCGGAAGGGGGTGGGGGTGGGGGCTGTGTCCTTCCTGCTGTCCAAGCCAGGTCCAGCACAAGGAATGTTAATTCTGAAGATTACATTTCGGGTACCAGCCGCCTCTGTGCATGCGGGCGCGAGAGGAAAAATAGCCCAGACCCTCACCGGGAACGAGTCAGCAGCCCTTGGTGACCGTGTCCGCGTCCAAGGCACTGTTGTTCTGGAAGAAATCCAGGATGCGAATGCATGGGTTCACCCGTGTAGAAAAGAAATGCACCAGCAACTGCTTTTTATACACATGTGCTAGAGTCATGGAAGAGACACCGACAGATGGGGAACAGTTGTGTGGCCGGTGGCAACGTGGATGATTTTCCCCCTAAGTTTTCTCTCTGTTCTATGGGATCTGTGAAGAGGATGAAGTCGGAGGACTGCCTGCCTGCATGGGTTCGATGACTCTCAGACGGGATGTCCCACTTCCCCCCTCAAAGCCCCCTCTGCTCCTCTCTGGTGCTTAGAGTGTAGCCTTCCCGGGATCCTGATAAATGGCAGGTCTCTGGCCACCGCCCCCAGAGATTCTGACTCAGGTACCTGCCGAGAGGCAAGGGCAGGATCTACCCTTCTAGCAAGGTCCTAAGTGGTGCTGATGCTGCTGGTCCTTGGAGCACACCTTAGACAGAGGTCAGGGGTGTTCTCATGCTGCCCCCAGGCCAGCAGCTGCTGGGAGTGAGGTAGCAGGGTGCTGGGAAAACGTGGAGCAACCGGCTTTTGATAGGAGAAGTCAGACCTAACTTGGAGCATCTGATGATTATCGCCGTGTAAATGCTCCCACCATGGCTGACGTCACACACTCATATCCTGGGACACGTCCCACCGTGAGGTCCCGGGATGCAGGGCTGGCAGCAGTGTGCGCGCCAGCTCCCGTGAGCTGGTCTGAGCTGGCGCTGCGTGCCCCTGCAGCCACAGCCCTCCCGGCCAGCGCCTTCCCCCCCGGACAGAGCCACAGCAGCTCAGCGTGCAGATGGACAGGCGGACGGCACCTGCTGTGGCTCGCCATACAGCGTGTGTGCGCACGTGTGATTGATGAATGCACGTTTGTGTTTCTACAGTTCTCCTCAGTGGGATGGAAACCTGAGGTTCAGAGGTTGTAGTGCATCGAGCCCTTAAAATTTCCAAAGTCAACTCCAGATAGTAGGTGAGAGCATGTGCTCTGTGCGTCTCTCGAGAAGCCCTGACCGCCGCTGTTGCTACAGGGGCTTCTAGACAAGGTGCTGGGAACCGGCTGGTCTGGGCTCTTGGCCACAGGCCCTCAATGTCCTCCTCCCAGCACCCCTGCAGTTGGTCCTGTCTGCCCCACTCAGAGATGGGAGACAAGTCCAGGGAAGAAAAGGGGGCTTCTGGAGGTGGAGCTGGGGTTTAGGCCATTTCCCTCAAGAAACGGAACTCTCCCCAGACCCCCTGGGGTTGGGGTTTCCTCTTCTGATAAAGGCAAGACTCCTGCAGAGGCCTGGGCCTCCCCCGCCCCACACACCCCTGCCCCTCCTCAGGACAGGACTAACCCTGCCTGGCTCAGGTTCCTTCCCCACACGGCCTGCTGTGACATTCAACCACAGCTTCCCCTGCACGCCAGAGGGGTCTGGCCGAGCACCTGCTGTCTGCTGTGTCCACCCAAGAGAAGCCCTTGACACTTGCAGGCCAGCCCTCTCTCTCCACCCCTGCCCTTCCCCCAAATGTCAGTGCCTCCCCCCTCCCAGGGGGGATACCCACACTCCTTGCCTCTTCCAGGACACCCCCTACTCCTTAATTTAAAAGTGTCTGTAAAGCCACGTCTTACCATGCATGGCACCGTGGACTCGGACGTGGCTCACCCCGGTCCCCGCCCCACCCCCGCAGGGAAGAAAGACCCCCAACCAGATCACAGCGTCCACCTGCCAGTGGGGAAGCCTCTAGCAGCCCCCCGAGAGCTGGACCGCATGCTGATGTCTGGGTCCCACCCCCAATTCCTGAGTTGGTCTCACTCCAGTCCTTACCAGGTGGCATATTAAAGCTCCGCAGGGGGTCCTGCTGTGCCATAGGGATGAGAGCCACCATCTGAGATCCTTCCCCAAACAGACACGAACCTAGAACATTAAACAGTCAACAAGGCAAACCTCTTAGGAGTTTAATTTCAGTTCTTCAGCAAGCACAGATTGAGGATCTTCTGCTGCTGGGGACAAAGACGGTCATCACCCTGGAGGACGCGACAGCATGGGAAGGTCTCTTCCACAAGGAGGGGCGTCCAGAGGGCTCTTCAGGAGGCTTGACTAGGTGCCTCAGGAGGAAGGACTAACTGCCTGGGAGAAGCCAGGAGGGCTTCTGGCTGGACAGATGAGTCTGAGCTCACCAGGTAGATTTAACGACAGGATCATTCTGGGCAGAAGAAACCATGTGTGAAGATGACACAGAAGGGTGTACATCTGAGGGGAATGGCAGGAAACTCCAGGTGGCCGGGAGGGCACACGAGGA